TCCCAGTTCAGACCAGTTTGGGGGTTCTGGAATCCCAGTCCGGAATTCCCAGTTTAAACCAGTTCAGGGTTCCCAGTTCAGACCAGTTCGGGGTTCTTGGGATCCCAGTTTGGGGCTCCCAGTCCCAACCAGTCCCAACCAGTTCAAACCAGTTCAAACCAGTTCAAACCAGTCCAAAAAAAGGGACCCAAGAGACTCCAGCAGGGCTCAACCACTTTATTGAAGGAAGGGAAATTTGGGGAATTTTGGGGAAATTTGGGGAATTTTTGGGGGAGAATTTTGGGATTTTTTGGGGAACTTTTTGGGAAATTTTTGGGGGAAATTTTTTGGGATTTTGGGGATTTTTGGGGGAGTTTTTGGGGATTTTTGGGGGAGTTTTTGGGGAATTTTGGGAATTTTTGGGTTTTCCTGCAGCTCATCCCAGGGGGAGTCACAGCTGAGGGGGGCGGGGGGAGGGAAAAAAATCCCAAAATTTTGGGGGGAAAATCCCAAAAATTTGGGCGGAAAAATCCCAAAATTTGAGGCGTGGGGAGGTGCAAAAAAAATTGGGGGGAAATCCCAAAATTTTTTTGGGAAAAAAAATTTCGATTTTTAAGGAATTTTGGGGTCAAATCGGGGCCAGGAGCTCCCAAATTTTTTATGGGAATTTTTCAAGGAGGACCCAAAAATTTTAGCGGGAATTTTTTTGGGACGCTCAAAAATTTGGGGAAAAAACCAAAAATTTGGGGGGAAAAAACCCCAAAACCTCCAAAAATGGGGGGAAAATTTTAAAATAATTCTGAATTTTTTTTTGAGATTTTTTGGGGGATTTTTTTGGATTTTTTTGGGATTTTTTTTGGGCCATTTTTGGGGGATTTTTTTGGGATTTCGGGGTGTAGGGACCCCAAATTTTTGGGGGGGGGGCAGACGAGGGACTCCTACACTTGGTACGCTCCAAAACAGGGGGGAAATGGGGTCCAAAATAAGCAGAAAATCCAAATTTTTTCGGATTTTTTCGGGGTTTTTTTTGGGATTTTGGGATTTGGGGACCCCAAAATTTTTCTGGGGGGTCCCAAATTTTTTTGGGGTCAGACGAGGGAGCCCGGGGGCTGCGGGAAGTCGGGGTTGGTGAAGCTGAACCCCTCGAACTCGGCTTGGTCCAGCCCGGCCAGAACCAACGCGTCCGGGGGGGTGAGCGCGGGCGGGGCCCGCGTGAAAAATTTATCGAAATTCTCCCCGTTCCGACCGCACTTTTTGGGGGAAAAAAAGGGGATTTTGGGCAAAAAAATAGGAGGGGAAATTGGTGGGGAATGGGGAAAAAAATTGGGGAAAAATCGGGGGGGAAAAAATAAAAAAATGGGAAAAAATGGGGAAAAAAATGGGGGAAAATTGGTGGAGAATGGGGAAAAAAATGGAAAAAAAAGGTAAAAAGAACGGGAAAAAATGGGGAAAAAATGAGGAAAAAATGGAAAAAGAATGGGAAAAAATGGGGGGAAAATTAGGAAAAAAATGGGAACAATCGAGAATAAAAATGGGAAAAAATTTGGTGGAAATTCGGGGGAAATTGGGGGAATTTTGAAGGGAATTAAAAGGAAAAAAAACAAGGAATAAAAAAGGGGGGAAAAGAAAGAAAAGAAAAAAGGAAAGAAAGGAAAAA